ATATATATATATATATATATATATATATATATATATATATATATATATGTAGGTCTGCGCCGTGGCTATCCGGCGATCTTTCGCCGTTGAATCTGGAGGATCTACGCCGGGAGCAGAAAGCACGGCCCACGCGTCGCGATCGCCGTGGTTTCTCTCGATCATCTCGATCGGACAGCCACCCAACGCGCTCCTATTATTCGCGCTCGATTGAATTAAGCTCTTATTTCCGCGATCCTCCGTCAGTCGATGTTTTCCGACACGGAGTATCGAAAAGTTAGCCAGTCGTGGAAAGTTTTGGACAGCCGAGTATTGAATGTACGAAAGCGCAGCGTGCAATAATTGTACACATATGTTTTTGTTTTTACCTCCATTAAAATCAATTATACCAATGAACTTGGAGAAATGAAAAAAGAGAAAAAAAGAAAGAAAGGGTTTCGAACGAACAGATCGAACGTTCCAAGTTCAAGGAGATGAGAGACAAAGGTAAAGGTGCATTCAAACTTTTTTCAGGCAGCTGAAAGGCAAACTAAAAGCTTTTCGTCCTCTTTTGTTAAACGTAGAAAGCGTGTGGCACAGTATAATTGTTCGTTCTCTGTTCCTTTTGCAGCTTCATTGAAATTATTAATTACACCAAAAGAATTGTATAAAATTGATCGGATATTCCAAGTTCGAGGAGATAAAAGATAAAGATGAAAGTAGCATCATAGATATTCATCTTTGATCATAATCACAGCACGTGTCTGTCTTTTTCGAGACTTTTCCAACTTGAAGCACGGCCAACAAATTCGAGAGCAGCTGAAAGATAAATCGAAAGCTTTCGTTCCGTTTTCCAGTGCAACGCGTGCTTCGCCGTGGTGGAAAACCTATTAAAATCCTGCCGTTGTTGGAGAAATCTTTTCCGTCGTGGACCGTTTGTCATGGCGAGGACAGTGGAGTATGAGAGGGGTCTCAACAGTCAGTTTCGCCAAACAGGGTCAACGCGTGCGCGGGTTCACGCGCCGCTTATTAGCATGCGAGTTTTCGCGTGCACGGGAAAAAGAGAGACTTGGCGCTCGCGGGGATTGACGACATGCTGCGAGCTGCATGATATATCGATACCGCGAGGACAGTATCCGTGTGCGGCTGCCAGCCAGGTACTTAACCCGCGATCAATCGGCTATGCGCGCGACTATGGTTGCATTACCTACCTACCTACTTGCCGGTTACCTGCCAAACCAGGACCGACCTCCATGCGACAGACAATAAGAGCCGCTTTCGAAGAAGGCGTTCTCCAATTGCCTCCTTGATGAGAAAATTGGAAAATCTGTTGGATTAGGATAACATCAATTTCGTTGATTCCTCAAGAGGTTCGCAAAATTTTACAGAATTTTAATTCTTCAAGGAATTTCATTTTAAAGGATTTTGATGATGGATCTTTAAAGTAGGAGAGTTTGTTGAGTTTGTTGATTTTGATGGAATTATGTGTATACACGTGTTTGAGATAGTCAGGCTTGAGATGTCATTCGTTGCTTCTTAAAAATATATTATATATATTTCTAATATATATTATATATAAAAATATATTATATATATTTCTATATATAATATAATATATTGTACTGTAATATATTATAATTTTAGATACTATAATATAAAAATGTATTTTTGTAGTCTTATAGTGATAGAACTGCATCATTTATTCGCTCAATATCGAAAATTATAGTAGAGAAGACCTGATTCAAATTTGGATATTGTAAGATGGAAAGATATAAATATTATGTATAAAAATCGTTCATCATCCTTTCGATAATTATTTTCTGATTCTAATGTTGTCCACGTAACTACATCGTACTTACTCGTAGAATTATAGTATCTGAATCAAATCTTCAGACACGAGCTAGCATGTACTAAGTATTAAGTAGAAAATATATTATATATATTTCTGTACCTTAATATAATATATTGTTACAACTTTATATTATATAGTAATATGTGAAGAATATATCGATGTTATATATTCTTGTATTATAATATAATATATTGTACTGTAATATATTATAATTTTAGATACTATAATATAAAAATGTATTTTTGTAGTCTTATAGTGATAGAACTGCATCATTTATTCGCTCAATATCGAAAATTATAGTAGAGAAGACCTGATTCAAATTTGGATATTGTAAGATGGAAAGATATAAATATTATGTATAAAAATCGTTCATCATCCTTTCGATAATTATTTTCTGATTCTAATGTTGTCCACGTAACTACATCGTACTTACTCGTAGAATTATAGTATCTGAATCAAATCTTCAGACACGAACTAGCATGTACTAAGTATTATGTAGAAAATATATTATATATATTTCTGTACCTTAATATAATATATTATTACAGCTTTATATTATATAGTAATAATATGTGAAGAATATATCGATGTTATATATTCTTGTATTATAATATAATATATTGTACTGTAATATATTATAATTTTAGATACTATAATATAAAAATGTATTTTTGTAGTCTTATAGTGATAGAACTGCATCATTTATTCGCTCAATATCGAAAATTATAGTAGAGAAGACCTGATTCAAATTTGGATATTGTAAGATGGAAAGATATAAATATTATGTATAAAAATCGTTCATCATCCTTTCGATAATTATTTTCTGATTCTAATGTTGTCCACATCGTACTTACTCGAATTATAGTATCTGAATCAAATCTTCAGATAAGAGCTAGCATGTACTAAGTATTAAGTAGAGAAATCGTCATTCTCTGAATGAGAGTCGCTTCCCGACTGAAAATGAATCGCGACGTTACCGAAGAAACTGTATCTGTACTCACTCGTTCAATGAGTATCGGGAATCTGATGCGAAGATCATTGAATACTACTCGTAGAAAAGAGAGAGAGAGAGAAGAAACAAGTACTCTAATAAATACGAAAATCGTTCATCATCCTTTCGATAACCGGCTTCACCTGATCGAAAATGAATCACCTGCGAGCGTCCAACTGCGCGTTTCGAAGGCGCACCGGCGAAGAAAAGCTTTCCGCGTTTCCTCTCGCCTCCTCTCTCGTCGGCGAGGTATCTGCGCCGGGCATCGCTTACGCGTATCACAGCGGCTCATTGTTCGCGGAAGATTCAATCTCTCTCGGGCCCGAGAGAGGGCCTTTCTCCTCT